TTTGATCTTACTAGTATTTAATAAAAATAAAAATATAGTTAAGGCTTGCCATTAAGACTTGCAGGGTGAGGGTCGACAATGGTAGCAGGCTAGGGAGTCAATCTGCTAGGATGTTTATTGCTGGCTGACTACTATTACACAGTAGTGGATGAAGTATTCTTTACTTAAGTAAAAATACTAATACCACACTGTAAGCATAATCAGGAAAATGTATTTAAAGTATGAAAAATAAAAATACTGACACCATGTGACTATTACACATTATATCATTAGATGATTATTACACGTGTTGTATATGCAAAATTTTACTGTTGTATTTGGTTGTGTTTGTGTCAGACAGAAAATAACAATTATTTTACTTTTACTTTATGAATTAATCTGTTTATTATATTCTGCATAAATCAACTGATTGGTTTGAAAAAACAAATCGGAAAATAGTCAGAAATGCCATCACAATTTTCCAGAGCCAAAAGTGACACCTTTACAATATATGTTTTGACCAACCAACAGTCCAAATCTCAAAATTATTAGAAATAAATTACAATTATTAAAATATTTAGGAAGAGTAGCACATTTTCACTGCTGGAACCATGAAATGTTTTACATGAGCATCATATTTTAAACACTCTTTATATGTTTTGAATGTAAAAATTCAAATTTGTAAAGTAATTAGTATTAAAGCTGTTAGATAAATGTACTTGAGTAAAAAACACAATATTTCCCTCCAAGATGCAGTGGAGACAAAGATAAAAGTGGCATTTAGTTATGGGATAAGGGATGAAGAAGTTACGTTTGCGTGTGCATAATGGATAAAGTCTCAGCGAGGGTGGCTTTAGTTTGTCAAAATCATAATTACTACATTTAAAAATGCTTTTATCATTCACATCACTTTTGTCACAACCAAATAGAGATTAAACAACTCTGCTAATTTGATCTGTTGATGCGGCTTTGAATTTTCACACGTTTTGGACGCTGCACTAAGGAATTTAATGTCACTTCCTGTGTCCCTCTATGGTACTAGAGAACACCCACTAATTACACATTATCTACGAGTACATAAACTGTGGACAACACCGTAAAAGTGTCACACCATGGACACACCATTAAACAAAAACTCACAGACTTCACAATATAGAATCATCAATGTCTTGGGGCTTTTTTCGCCCTTCAACGAAAAGTTTTTATATTGCACTGCAAAAATTTTAAGACCATCTGATTAATTCTCTAGGAGGAGTTTGTTAGAGTACAGAGCCTGTAAATCACCAAATATGCCCATCAAATTCAAAATGGCTGACTTCCTGTTGGGTTTAGGGCATTGCTCCTAGAGGCTTTTTTTTATGTGGCAGGTGTATCACATCTGCCCCAAAAACAGTGTGAATGTCATGAAATGGGTCGTAGGGGCTGCTCTGTAGCTAGCGAGCCATTTTGACATGCCCATGCACGACACCCATATGACATTTTTTTTGTAAATTTTTGCCACCTCTGACGTGTGTGCAAAATTTTGTGAGTTTTTGAGCACCTTTAGGCCATCAAAATTGTGATTCATTTGGGAGAAGAAATCAATCCTTTCATTTCAATAGGTTTTTTGCATGTTTCATGCTCAGGCCCTAACGAAAGAATAAAGAACTGCAACTCTCTCCACCTGATTTTGTTGTTCTCTTCATTGTCAAAATCTACATATGGCAGCACAATAAATGTGTGCTCATTAACAATGTGTATGCATACACAAAGGCACAAACACCTTCTACTGACACCTCCATACTCTGAGAATCACAGGGGCAACTAATTATTTATCATGCTGGCGAGCAAGACAAAGTGACAGAAAAGCAAATGTTTTTTGATACACTGCAATTGCAACAATATTTCTTAAAACGTTACTTTAATAATCCATGAAATGCAGGACTGGAGGTGACAAGGGTGTTCTTGCTCATAATAGCTGAGGTTATTGCTATGGATAGAACAAGCCATTTATCAACTGATCAATTTGGCTGTGGCATGATCAGTTCAGATTTCACTGCTAAACAAAGGTTTCAACCATAGGCAAAATCACGGGGGGCACATGTCCCACCCTATCTAAGGGGTCCCCCCCATCAAAATCCATCACATAATATAATGATATATACTTAAAACAATTGTAAATAGTAAAACAATAAAAACGCAAACACAGCAATTAAAGTGCTTTTTAAGTTTAGAAACATGTTGAGTCCCCCCTTCTCTTGCCTCACAGTGGTTTGGTCCACTGTCTGCTTTCCCTCTCACAGGAATCCAATAGCAGAAAACCAGTTCAAATCCAAATCCGAGCTCCAGTAATCTTAAGCAGGCTGCAGGGCTGTTTTATGCACTTTAAACATTGGATGAACTGATTCTTTTGTCTTTAAGACAGATGAGTCATTTATAAATTAATCATGACAAAAAGTTATGATAACCGATTATTTTTCTATGAGCCCACACTGTTATTATAACATTACCTAGCTTATTTGGTGGCTTGTTTAACATCTTATTGGACTGGAACTCATCTTCTACAGCTAGAGATGCGCAGATTGATCAGCTGGACTGAATATAGACCGTTTATTTTCACTTACTCGGCTCTGACTAGTGACCGGGGGTTGAGCAGTGTCAAATATCCAATTTTCTGCCGGTGACATTGAATGTTACAAACAGGCTGCACTGCGGCGTTGTTTCACATGTGTGCACAGACAGTAACATCATGTCACAGCCACACACACACAGGTTGAAACATGTCTTAGGTGTGTGGAAGTTATTCACGAGAGTGAAGAAGATGCAAGGCTCACTACATCAGCAGAGAAACACACAGAAAGTGACGCTGTGGATATTGTAAAGCAGGGAGCAGGTAAATACACAGTGAACACAGCTGTTGGTGACGATGTCATTCAGACCACGGTGGGTCTCTATCGGTAATTAACAACAAGCCTCCTCCACACGCGGCTCATCTGCTGCTTTGAAAACGGAATTGCGGGTGAAAAGGAAGAAACGCGAGTTCTTTTAAATAAAACTGCTGACAGATAAAGTCAGAGCAGACGGAGAGAGACAGACAGGTGAGGTGTGTGCTTGTATAGTAGTATAGAATTCAATTTAAAATCCTGGTTCTTACTTAGAGCCCTGCACGGTCAAGTTCCTCCCTACATCTCTGAGTTGATACAGCTTCATACCCGACCCATAATTTGAGGTCATCAGGTCAGAGGTTGTTAGTGGTTCCCTACACTCATTTTAAAACCAGAGGGGATGTTCATTCCAAGCAGTGGCACCTAGTCTGTGGAATGCTTTGCCTTCCTTTCTACATTGTGTGAATTCTGTTGATTCTTTTAAAAAGCAACTGAAGATGCTGCTATTCAAGCAGGCTTTTAGTTAGACATTTTATGTTTATGGTTTTTGTGTTTGTGTTTTCCATCTGTATTTAAATTTTCTTATACATTGTATTTTACTTTGTTGTATTACATTTTACCGTAAAGCACTTTGTGATTTTTATCTGTGAAAGGTGCTATACAAACTAACTTTACTTACTTACTTGTGTGTCTGAGGGGAAAAGAAAGGTGAGCAGATTATTGTAGTTTGTGATTAAACACAAAAATAAATTGGAGAATTATGCAGAATTAAAATGGTGTTTCATTATGACCATACAATTGAGGCCAGTGAGAATAGCTAACATTTATACTAGTGCTGATGGGGATCCTAATAAAAATAGATTTTTACAATAAATAGTTACACAAATGTTTGTGTATGCTGTCAGTTATAGATCTTAGAAATAAATCATCAAAATAATCAGACAAATTAGAATCGGCAGGTCAGATCTTAAAAAATCAGTAACTGGAATCAGCCATGAAAAATGTAATCTTTGTATCTCTTACTACAGCGATAATCCTGTGTGTGAACCGACATCAGGCTGATACCGTATAGATCCACCGTTGTTTTGGGTTGTGCGCATGATGATGTTAAGTGGTAGAGCAGTTGTCCTGCTGCCCTTAAATATCAAATATACATACACACACACACACACACACACACACACACACACACACATATATATATATATGTGTGTGTATGTGTGTGTCCAGAGACGTCCTCCTTCCCAGAAGAAACCTAAATTACTATGTAGCCCATACAGGACGCAAGTTATTTAGGATAATATGGCCGCGTGGTGAACCTAAGAACTTAAGTCATATTTAAACAACTATTGCTTTGTGTTGTTGGCCAGAAAACTATTAGTAAGACTTCTCTCTCTGTACACATATCCTATAGGCCTACAAGTACAATTTTGGCTGTATTATTTGTGTCCCCCTCAAAAATTGCTCTTGTGAAATTTTAGTTTAGTTTATTGTCCCCCCCACTACTAATATTCTGCTGGATGTCTGTGGACTGTCTGGAGACCTACAAGCATTGGTAGGTTAATGTGCTATCTTATGCTAAGCAGGTGCTGAGGAAGTTGTTCTGCCCAGACATAACGGGTCCTCACATTAATTAAGTTTTTTGAGCCTGCCTGTTTCCCCAGTGCCTACTAATTAGTCTTAATTAGGGGCTGGACTGATGAAGTTGTAGAAGCAGACACAATGCCTTGCTAGTGATTATACACTCCCTATAGTTTCTTCTGACTCTTCCCTCTGCTTCTCATCTGACCTTGACTGGACTCCTCCTGAATTCCCTCCTGTCATTATGTGACATTCAAATGGACAGGGAGTTGGTATTCAACAAACACTTAAACCTAAAGTGTATATTATTGGTCAAAATGCCTATGCATACCAAAAGAGTGGGCTTCATTGTTGTGGAGGGTTTATTGATGGGTTTTTGTTTTTAGCCTGTATTTTCATTTTTGCATTCAGGCAGTGTGATGACATTTACTAGTGTGTGGGTGTCCATATTGTGGATGAGCCCTAACTGCAGGGAGAAGCTGACTTATTCCTCTCTGACTGACAGCTTTAACAGCAGCCTGCAGTGACCCATAAAGAACAGCTGCAGAGATAATCATCTAATGTGCCTTTGCAGATAATGACCCTGTGTGATCTGACCTCCATTTTTTGGCCATCACCACTTCAACCAGGCGACAACTGCGTGAGTGAAGTTGAAAGATGACATGTCACTCGCAAGTGTGGATGCAGCAAACAGCATTGTTGCTACGACAGCCAGGAAACTGGGCTTCCCAATCCAAGGTAATTCCACTGGTTCATGACTGAATAACATCAATTTCTGATCAACAATAACATAACCAAAGTTGACATGGCTCAGGTCTAGTACTCTGCTGGAAGCAGAACACCAAACAGAAGACCTGCATGAGTAGAGGACAAGCCTTGGTCAAATACTTTGTGTACATACATGGCAGTATGTGGCCAAAAGTATGTCAACAAACCAGTGACGTAAGTACCACCAGTGCCCAGCTGTTTACAAGGGCCCACAAGGGACAGCGACAATTGACACGTGGATTGTGATCAAATGCTGTCATCCATTCATTCATACTGTCGGAGACGGCCGACTGTGGTGGTTTGAGTCAGGGATTTGCTAATGGCACTTCGGCTGCTGTCCGTGGTGCTGATCAAAGACTGCAGGTTTGCAATTGCGTAAAATTGCGTATGCCTGTGTGTACAAAAATGTGTTTTTGGGTCTGGGGGCCACAAGAAAAATATTTGCACCAAGGCTAATTACAATCATGTTGTGCTGCTGCAACAAAAATTTGTGTACTTTTGGTCCGTGGACATTTTCCATGGTTTGAGCCCATTACTTCTAGCTTAGGGAAATCTTTAATCACTGCTGCTGATTACACTGAGATTTTATACAACAGTATGTTTTTGTTTTTAACACTGTATGCTTTAAAAGTTATATGCAAATCAAATGTAGGCTATTGGAAATCAGCGGAGTCTCAAAATAGTAGGGTTTAGTTTGGAATGCAAACCACTCCAAACTAGAATTAGAATCAGAATCAGAATCTGCTTTATTGTCAGGTAAATTTACACATACAAGAAATTTGCTTTGGTATTTTGGTACATAACAAGAAACATAGTAGGTACATAATGTAGGTAAGATAAAGCAAGTACTGCAGGTCAAAAATTATAAATATAAAATTAACAATAATAAGAAAACGATTAAGGATATACAATGTGGCTGTTATATTATGTTTAAATTATGTTTGTACAGGGATATACAAATTATTTACATGTGCAAATTTACATTATGAGTATAAAGTATGAGAGTTAGTGTCAGTGGGTGTCCGAGGCCTTGTTGATGAGGCCAGCTGCAGACGGAAAGAAGCTGTTCTTGTGGCGCAAGGTTTTGGTCCTTATGGACAGCAGTCACAAGCTTTCTGGTTCACCACAGAGTCCAGGAGGTGTACGGGTCCTGGAGGGATTGAAGAATGCAGCCAATCATCTTCTCAGCAGGCTGAACGATACGCAGCAGTCTGCCCTTGTCCTTAGCAGGACCATCATTGTCAGCTCAGCTGCCCCGGGAAGTACATCCACATCTGCTGATGTTCAGCTCCCACTTGAGGTCCTGGGTGGTGATGGTGCCCAGGAAGTGGAAGGACCAGGATGAAAAAAAGTTGTGATTTGGACTTATTTGCAGGCGTTACTCATTTTATTAGAACCAATGACCACTAAACTAAAATTACTAAATGAAGCCTTTCGGCAGTGCCTACATTATTAACCACTCTTGAGTGCCAGTCTTTCAGAAGGGCCCAGAGCGAAAATGTAGGCCTTTATTATTTTATTTTTGGATTTGTGTGACATATATTGTGTCAGGAGAGACTTCGAGTGAACATCAAAAATTTAATTTTTATGTGTACAATGAATATGATAAATGTGGCTTTAGTGATTGGACACCATTGTGAAGATATGCTATTAAAGGGGGCCCCCAGAGGGGGGGTCAGTAAGGGCCCACAACACATTTTAGCCCAGGGTCCTCTAGTGTCTTTGATTGGAAATCCACATATGTTTGGCTATGTGTACTTCATCTTTTTTATTTTATTTTACGGGACTAACCAATGTTGTGAGTTAAACTCCATCCATTTGCAAATATTGTATGACAAGGATTAAAGGGCAACATGAAATACTTGAAATACTGTTGCATTCTTCATTTGTGAAGAATTTCTTTCTCCACACTTTGGCCTTTCCATCACTTTGGTAGAGATCAATCTTGGTCTCATCAGTCCATAAGATCGTGTTCCAGAACTTTTGCAGCTCATCTCTGTATTTCTTTGCAAATTTCAATCTGGCCTTCCGATTCTTTCTGCTGATGAGTGGTTTGCATCTTGTGGTGTGGCCTCTATATTTCTGCTCTCTGAGTCTTCTTCCAACAGTGGATTGTGATACCTTCATTCCTGCACTGTGGAGGTCGTTGGTGATGTCACTTACTTATGTTTTGGGGGGTTTCTTCACAGCTCTCACGATATTTCTGTCATTAACTACTGTTGTTTTCTTTGGCCGACCTGTTTGACGTCTGTTGCTCAGTACACCAGTAGTTTCTTTCTATTTCAGGACATTCCAAATTGTTGTGCTTGCTATGCCCAATGTTTGTCCAATGGCTCTGGTCAATCTTTTCTCAGCTTCACAGTGGCTTGCTTTTCTTTTGATCTTAAACCCAAATGTCTTCAGTGAACAACAAAAACAAAGGAATTTGCCTTACCGTTCCAATACTTTTGGAGGGGACTGTAACATTAGATTTTCCATAAATTAAAATAGATGTGATTTTAATGGGTTTGTAAATAGATCACATTATGGTGTAGTGCATAGTCTACAGCTACATAGGGATCTCAAAATATCTGACAGAGAGCAGACTGCTAAATGTGTTTACTTTAAAGCGGGCCGATAATCTGGACTTGCTCACATTTTCATCTTGAAAGTCAACTGTTCAACCTGCTTCCAGCACAGTGTGGATGAAAGGGCTATGGAGTGCACACTAAGCTCTGTATAAAAGGCATTAATGTCAAGCTACAGATCTCAGGGATGCTACGTAACCACTGGCAAAATTGGGAAGGCCTTTTCTTTGGCAGCTACTGACAGAGAAAAGACAGGGTCTGTAATGTGTTTGAAGCATAAGGGAGGAGTAAATCACTTTGTTCCCACTCACAGACACTTAACACACACGCACACACACACACACACACACACACACAGTGTTTTTTCGTTAGCATATTCTTACCATCCATTGCAATACAAAGGCAGCACTAAAGAACACTTTGATGTGAAGCTACAGTCATGCTGGCACCTAAAGGAGTACTTTTTTGGAAGCCATAGCAGCAAGCAAGTAGAGGCACACTATACAGTTCCCCTCTGGAGCTTTGAGGGGAAATACAAGCAAACAGTTTTACCTGTTTACCCTGCCGTTGCTGCAGTCTGCACTGAGAGTCTGCACTGGGGGTAAAAATGAAAAAGAGAGACAGAGAGAGCAAAGGGTCCAGGGAGGGTACCATGATTGTGGGTTGAGAGTTCAGTGCTCACTTCAGCATCACAGCAGAGAGGAGCCAGCGCCCTGCAGTTTACATTTCCTGTGGTGAGAGTTTGCCATTTGCACTCAAATGTTATATTGGTTTTCCTCCAATACCAGTGGGAGCAGTCAAGTGAGTGTGTTGTTTGCTATAGAATAAAACCTCCTGACTATATTTTCCATGAGCAGAACATAATTTGAAGTGAAAGGCCACAGGGCCAGGGCAGAGTGGAGGGATGTGGCAACAAATTGAGCCAGTGTCTTATCTGTGTGTGCATGTGTGTGTATGCGAGTGTGTTCGTCTACCCAGCACTTGCCTTGTGGAACCCAGTTTCTCTGTGCAAGTAGGCATTATTTCAAACAATTATTGTGTGTTAGTGAGGTTGGGAGGGGTGAAGGAGCTCACAAAGACTCCTTTGATGCAGGCTAATTCCCAAGTCGTCCCCTCCCCCCCCATTCGGCTCCACCTCGGGTCATTACATTTTAACACTCCATTGAAGCCGCAAATTACAATTTTTTGGCAACACAAATGCTCTTCTTGAAGAGTTATTTCTCTCGGGACAGAAATTGGCACTTGCAGGACTTGGCTGCTAGCGTTAGGATGCCAGATTCTACGGTTTGCGGGCGTATTACATATCATAGCCATATCATGCATATTACTTCTTGTTGCTTGCTTGATTGAAAAATCTGAACATCCTGAAAACCTCTGATGAAAGTCAAATGTCGTACAGTGAAAGCTTACCCTTATGACATGTTTATGAAAACTGTAAAATTATTGTCCAACACAGCTGTCATCAATCAGACCAAAGGGGGCAATAATGAACAATTTGCCCATTTAAAGTCTCTGCATATAACTGAAAGTTTTTTCTCGTACTGTAATATCTCATTAGAAGCCATGGGAGTAAAAACTGTTAATGAAAGCCCATAAACAGTAAGACTTGACTGGTGCTCATTTATTTTAATAGTGTAGAAACATTAAAGTAAGCAAGAGCTGAATAATGAGAGATCGTTGTGACTTTGCAGCTTCATCCACCTCTGTGCTGCTAGAATCATCCTCAAAATATACAATCTTAAATCCAACACATCAATTTATGTCCACATGTAAGTATTTTGCAAAATATCTTATAGGGAAAGATAATGCCACATCGATTGTGCTTTTCTTCACTATATCAGACTGCACATTCATGCTGAATTTATTTCCAAAATGTTTAACAATATTCATTCAGACCGTGCTGACATTTCACAGTTGTTTATTTGTACAATAATTGTTCAGGGCAGCTTCAAATGCTTAAAAAAAGATTAGGCAACTAAAATACACAGTTAAGGTTAGAGAAAGATTGAGATGCTGGATAATAAAGATACTTAGGACAAATGCACATAGTGTCATTGATGTAAAAGCACCCAAAAGATCTGAAAGGGTCAGGTCCCCCAGTTTACCAAAGAAATAAAAGATTCTCACTTGAGCCTTGCAGATAGTATCGTGGCCTGAATGTCCCCAGGCTTTAGGGCATCGCTCTCAGAGATTTCGGCTGCAATCCGAACACAATGAAGGTGAATGGACTGGATTGAATTTGTTGTGCTCAAAGTATTGACAAATTAAAAAGTTACATCTCTTTCCAGAAACAATGTCCTGCTACTCTGGATAAGTCTGGATAAGTCAAATATTCACTGGGAACTGTTTTAAAGGTTCAGTGTGTAAGTTTAAGTGACATCTAGTGGTAAGGGTTGGGAATTGCAGCAAGAGGGTCACGGTGGATTCATGTGCTCCTCGGATGGTCCCATTTCCCAAGTTGTGAAGTCATTCTTCCGACTTCAGTGTGTATTCATGTGCTCTTAAGTCGGAATATGGAACCAACATGGATGCTACTACAAAGATGTGATGGATTAGCATTATCAGAGCATATAAACAACATGCAGACATCTAGTTCACTCTACATGGTGTTGGACCGTGACTTTAAATTACCCTTTTTAAACTATGTGTAGTCTCTGGTCCCGCATGTTCTTTCATGAAGCAATAGGAGAAGATGTTTTTGGTCCAAATTAATCAGTTTTATTACAAGTAAATGAATAAAGCTTACAGAGCTCTGGGTCGATCTTCCTTTCTCTTACAAACAACAAGCTGTATCAGTTCATGAAGTCTGACTGGCTATCTCTCCCTGACCCAGTGTTTTAGTATACATCATCATGTCATAAAACAATAAAACAAAAGTGTAGGTTTGTCCATGATTGGCCCAAGTCCTCTGACCCGAATGTTTGTCTTCTGACTCCATGAATCACCATGCTGTTGCTTGGCAGATTACAAGTGTAGCTCCTGAAATAAGATATCTTGGAGAAGAGATGTTTTGTACCACATTCCAAACTACCCCTCACCCATTGTTCCTAAGTAAGTGTCCTTATCTGATTATGCAGAGACCCCCTGTTTCTGCATCTCTCCAAAAAACACACACATCAGGGGGTTTAATAAATGATAAACCAACATATAAACTTCTACCTATAAAATATATCAGAGATCAATATAAGAAAACCCTGAATAATACACAAATCATACTATCATAATCTCTCAATGGAAAGCAAACTAATTATATAAATGTTATATAAATTACAAATTACACAAATCAAAGTTCTGTATACTTCTTTATGTCCCATGTACACTTAATTTCTCCTTTTGAAATAAAGATTTGAGGAAAAAAGATTCTGCTTATTCCGACTCCACAATGTCACCACCCTCCCTTTCCAAGTGAGAAGCTATGGTGGCCAACACGCTCTGTCAGCTCTTGTGCTAAATAACACATGTGCTCCTCCATTCGCCCAAATTTCTCTTCTCTTTTTACTTCTAATAAACCAGTCAACTACTACTACTACTACAACTACTGAAGTTTCTTGTTCTTCTTCAAAGTACATATTCAACATAGTGAAGAAACGCACTCTGTTGCGCCATTTGTCTATTTCGCATACTGTAGAAACATGGCGTCGCAACATGGCTACGTCCAGTGGTGTATGTAGATAGAAATGTCTCATTCTAAGGTGAAAAAACATGTCGGTTAAGGTCTTCATACACCACTGAAAACATAGTTATGGATATTATATTGCATTCTGTCAATAGATCCTCCTAAATATTACACACTCAACCTTTGAGTCACTATCAAAACTTTTAACATGTTGATGATGGAAATGCTATCTTATTTCCTTTTCCTATAGATGGTGCAAGTTATCGCAATTAAAACAGTCTGAGAATGACCAAACAGCTCCCTCTTGTGGAGAAGCTTCTCCCTGTTGACTGTGAATAATTCTGGGAGTTTGTGATTGAGTTACAAGACGGAAATGTCAACGCTGACAACATGTGAGTGGATGTGAACCTTCCCTTGTGTTATAAGCAAACGGTTTACATGAGCATGTCACCCCCGTAGCCTCTACACCTTTGCATTTATGCACTATATATACACAACACACGATATCCTGCAATGGCTCTGGAGTGTGCTAAATTGCTACAGCCCAACAGATGCGTATGAATATCATTCTTAGGAGACAGAGCTGCAATAACACAAAGGTATAAGCCATTTAGTCCTCTTTTCACCAAAGTTAAAGCATTTTAAAATGATGTCAAACAATATATTGATTGTGGTGTTCTCCTT